TAAGCCCATTGAATGAGTTTGTTTTTTTCTCTCTTACTGCATTTTTCAGTTCTAAAATTTGCATTTGGCTTTTTTATATCTTTTGTTTCTCTGCTTAGACTATTTTTTCATTTGTTTTATGCGCATTTGTAATTTCTCACTGAAGCACTTTCATGATGGCTTTTTTTTAAGCCCTTCTCAGATAATTCTAACATCTCTGTCATTTCAATGTTGGTATCTGTTGATTTTTATCTCATTTGAGTTGAGATCATCCTAGTTCTTACATGACCATCAACTTTCAATAGAAACCTGGATTTTTTGGTATTAGGTTATGAGATAAGATCTCACCTAAATTAAATCTTTTATTTTAGCAGTCACTTACTTATAGCATTCTGATGGGGTAAAGAGATAATCACTTTGTCACTCCTAAGTAGGGATGGTACCCACTCAGCCTTCACTGACATCTGAGAAAGGAAAGCAACACTCTTGGTTTCTGCTGGGTGATGATAGGGGTTCAGGCCTTCACTGATACCACCCTGGTTGGGAAGGACAAGAGACAAGAGTGTCTTATCTCTCTTCATATGGCCTCTACTGATATCAAACATGAGTGGCTTCATTTACGGCTGGGCAGTAGTCAGAGCCCTGACTCTTCACTAGGCTCCCATGGAGACAGGACACTGTGTTACACTCTGGCAAGGAGAGAAGACTAGAAACTTCACTTGGTCTTTGTTAGTGGGAGTGGAAACAAAGCCAGTTTTTTGTGGTGCTGGTCTGAAATAAAGCAATTATTGTTTATTGTTTTGGGTTAAGTGTTTTTTATCTTGCTAAGCTGTGGCTAGAAAGAACAAATTTTTGTTAGTATTGTTTCGGTTTGGGTTTTGTTTTATTGGCACCTATTTTCTTTTCCAGGTCACCCATTTCTCCAACATCCAATTTGAGATGTATGAGGCAAAACAAAAACCCACAGAACTTACCACCATGTAGTTCTTTGGGTCACTAGCCAGTATTCCTTCTCTCTACCTTTCAGTTTTCTTATGTTTGTTCTCTATATAATATCCAGAGTCTGTAGGTATACTTACCAGAAGGAATAGGGAAAAGGACTTCTAGTCCATTTCTCCAGAAGCAAAAGTTCAATGTACTGTAATATGTTACACTGTAATATAATATCATTAAAAACATTAGAGATAATATTCTGGCAACATCATTTAGATGAAGTACAAATAGGAATCCTTTGGGGTTAATCCAGTTTAATCCAATGTACCTTCAATGAGCAAATATTCAAAACTGATGCATCTGTGTTCCCAATGAGGACAGTTTTCCTATATATTATCATAGAGGACTTTATTAGGCACCTTAAAGAAATTACCAATCTTTCAACATCTATTCAATTTGAAGCACCTCCACAAATTTTTCAATCATATTTTAGCTATAAAATATAAACTCCATTTTTCCAGGGGCTCATGAACTTAAAAATTCTGCCTGGCAAGTATCAGATAAAGATGAGAAGCTACAAAGTCTTTGCCCATTTCCTGCATAGGGAGCAAGAAATGTTTCTCTTTCTTTCTCCCTATTTCTCTCTACTTTATCCTGCTGTATTAAAATAAATCCTTGCTAAAACTTCTTTTTAAAAAAACTTGGGAAGCTACCTTGATTACAAAATGCCAAAGCATTTGACCTAATTAAAGAGTTATGGGTTTACAAAGTATGTCACATCTAAAATAATTATTTGCAAAGCATCCTATTTAAGTTGTTTTTCCCAGAGTAGCAATGAATTTGGGTAATTCAGCCATACAATCTTCACCGGTCTTCTCTGTGAACATCATACACACACCCACATAAGTCAAACGCATTAACTGGCCTCCAGAGGGTAAATCTTGGTATTATTACTCTGATGTCCAAGTCAGTGTTCCTGCTAGTCTTTTTTTTTTAAAACTCACAGGAGTAGTAACAAAGTAGAGTCCCAGCTTGGAATAACTTATATAGCTACAATAAGAGATAAAAACTAGGAAAGTGACATTGGTCCTTTACTGTTGGCTACAGAATGGCTCATTTATGCTTTATGTAAGTTAAGTTACACTTTAGTGAACTTCCTCAAAAACAAAGCTTTTGTGCATCTACAACCAAATTACCTATAAATACATAATCCTTATATACACAGAAACATACACACATCATATGTTTATATTTCACACTCACAACACAAAGGACTATACCTATATATGAAAAAAAGTCATATGAAAATAACACTAATATTAGTCATACAGAGTGGTACACACTTGTAAGAAAGATATTTCTAGTCATGAGATAAAATTTATTTTTCTGGAGCTACACTGGTTCTAGTTTTATCCTGGGGAGGGGGGGATTTCATAGGCAAGTTTTACCCCTTACTTTCTCCCAGTGAAATCAGACAACCTGATTTGTCTAAGATGATGCTAGCTTGCATATATTGTTCTTGCATAATGAATACCCCTTTAACCATCAAGATTTAAAGAAAACATAATACAGCTCCTCTATCTAGTATAGTACTCAAATATCTGAAGACCACACATTATTTTATCAGGTTGAACAGCCTCCTATTGTCCAGCTGCTCTTCCTATGGCATGATTTTGAGGCCTTCCACTATCCTGATCATTCTTGCAAATGAATTCACACTAGCTTATTTATATTCCAAGAGCCCTGACACTTTTTTAAATTCCTTGTTGTATAACTACGTTAATGGAGGATTTTATAATCCCAATTAAGGAGCAGAAAGTCATTTACTTCTGTTTGAATACTAAATCAACAAACAGCTATGACATTACTGTCCCTCTGGATAAAGACAACTTGTATAGTGGTACTAAGTGGTAGTCTCACATTATACCAGTAGGTGTCACTCTTATATGATGTATTTTAAATTATTTAAAATTTCAATTCATTCATTCAACAAATATGTATTGAGGGTCTGTTATGTGCCAGGTTTGATTCTAAGTACTAAGAATATAGTGGGAAATAGGAATGTACTACATTATTCTCAAGGAACTTACAATATAGATTATCAATAAATAATTCTGCTTTGTTTACTTTCTAGATAAAAATTTATATCACTCTTTTCCTATAGAATTTCCATACAGAATTACATTTTTCTAAGTTAATACCTAATATTCAAAATAATTCATAATAAACAAATACTATAATAGAACAGAGTCAGAGAAACTATGACCTGCAGAACCTAGATAATGCACACAGTGTATTTTCTAGCCTTTTGAATTTACAACACTTCTCTTCCAAGTTTCTAAAACCCAAATTTAAGGTATCTCTTAGTATAACAGAAAAAAATTTATCTGGAACAGCAATTCAAATTTTTTTAAAATCTACCTTTTGTAAGTAGATATTACATTATAAATTTGAAAGATTATTTTCAAAGCTTATTAATTCCAAAATACATTATTTCCTTACCTCTACTTAGAAAATGGCATCTGCTAAATACCAAACACATATCCCCAGTTAACAGAGCAAAGACAGTAACAAATTATGCCTCAGCAAAGAATTTAGGAATTCCTCTGGTGCCAGAAATCCTTATTTCTAAGACTTCAAGGTGACTTGAAGCTCACAACTTCACTGTTGCTAATAGCAACAATGTGTCAAAACAAACAAATAAGAGAGGGAGTAGACACTACACGTTAAGAAAGAAGCATAATCCCAGCCCTTGGGAGGCTAATACAGAAAGACCTTGAGTTCACAGCCAGCCTGGGCTACATGTTGAGACCCTGTCTGAAATAAAACAAACAAAAAGAATTGTCTGCACTGAAATCTAAGAACCTAACAACCACTCAATTACTGTTTTGTTTCCATCTACTCTCAAACAAAATGTTTTCCACCCTGAAAAACCTGGAGAAAACACAGTTAAGGATTTATTTCAGAATCCTAAACAAACAAAAAAGGTCTTAGTAATTAGAAAGCTATGAGTTCAAATTTCAATCACATAAATTTGAAAAACAATGCTTTTAAGAATAAAACACTAAAAGCTTCAAGAAATAATCAACTTAATGCTCCCTTTTAGTACCTCAAACTGTAACTTAGTGTCTATATTGCTTGAGCTATATTGTATACTGTTTAATGTATGCATAGAATCACATGCATACATTAGAACACAAGAAGTACTCAGTGACTATTAAGTTACAAACACTAAGGTGTTCCAGAAAAGATGTTTAATGATGAAAAAGATCTAGATTAATTTACATGTTAATGTTAAGTAAGGCATTTTTGATAGACAGATAGATAGATGATCAAATATATTTAAAAAACAGCTTATTACTTATGGTTTTAAAATTACACTTATAAACTGACAGGCCAAGTATTGTTAGTACTTAGCATATCTGAGATGTTACCAAACTTGCATGTACTTGATGTGCTAGCTCAGTATTTTTATTCCAAATATAAAAGTGTGTGCAGTTAGAGGGGATCTAGTGTATTGCAAAAAGCATACCTTGTGGAGTCAACAAAGATCAAAGCATGAATCCCAGCACTCTCCTAAGTTAGCTCTGTGACTTCTGGGCAAGTTACTTCATATGTCTTAAAGTCTTTCCTTTCCCAATAAGGTGCAAATACAGTATTGTGAGAAACCATCTTATGTAAAATGTCTGGTATAGGGATGACACATAGTAGGTACTGAATAAATGGTAATTAGGGAATGCCACCTCTCTTTTTGATCACTAAAATGACCACATCGATTAATGACTTACAAGTTTGTAACACGAAGTGCATCTCCCTACTCTAACACTTTTATAAAATAAAACTCCTTACTCAACTGAATGCCAACAAAGATGCACCTTCTCCTTGTGTTCAAATATATTTTGCATGACCTTACATGAATTGCTTAGATAAAAGCTTTTTCTCTTCTGCTTTTGTTATTTTAAAGTGCAGATGCATTTGAGTCATTTTCTCCTTTTGTTTCATATCCTTAAGATCCAAAGCTTCAAAGACAGAATGTCAGCATGCAGTCAATTTATGACTGAACTCTTGAAGAGACACTGAAGAATTACCTTGTCAATCACCCCAAGGACTCTGAAGGCCTTCAGCTCCTCGGCAGGGCTCCTTAGGTTCCAAGGGGGCCTTGAACTTAGTGATCCTGGAGGCTAATGGAAGATATCAAAGATTATACATCAATCAGGGAGGTACTTGAAGGAAGACTGCCTGCTGAAGCAAATGCCAGGCCAAAGGAAACTAAATTTATCATAAATCAGAGAAGAGAAAGATAAAAGGAGAAAGTTTCTGTTTGTCTGCAATGAAAATAAAAAAATCAAAAATAAAGAAAAGCAAAAAGAAAAAAGTTGCAAGTAAATAAAGCAGAACATTGAAAACAAAATTTTAAAAAGAAAAATTAATGAGCTGGTATTGTCTTTACAGCAGTAATTCAATTTAAGACTATATAATTATCATGAAACTTTGTAACAAATGAATAGCTGGGCCAAAAATTAATGATAAATTCATCTTTCTATTCCAGACAGATGAACAATAACTTAGAAGGCAGACACTAAAAACAATGAATTAATGGATAAACTTGGAAAAGGAGGGACACAAGGTATTCTTGCTTATCATGAAACTAAAGTCCTTTAATGTTACTTTATAAATGTATATATTTTTAAGAGGAAGTGGCAAATTCAAATTCAACAAGAAAAATCATCAATGATGAAAAAAAGAAACTCTACCATTTAACCAGTGATTATTGGAATGGAGGTTAAGGGGTGATTTATGGAAGAAAGAAATTTTTCTCCAAACATTTGAATATCTGTGATGTGGAAAACAGTCTGTAGCTACAAAAAAGACCAAAAGAAATCAGTGACTATAGGAAGAGTATATTTCAGTACCACATACAATTAAAAAGCAATACTAGCTTCTAACTGTTGGTTTTAGTTTTTCTCTGTCAGTAAATACATTAGAAAAAACTCTAATACCTTCCTTTAGCATTTATAACAGAAAGTACTACTATAATTAACCCTTATACTATTAAAATGGTAACGCTGTAAAAGATGACAGGAAACACAAGATATATAAGAATATACTTAGAGAAGACCTTGTTGCTGTGACCAGAAAATCTATTAAGATACAGAGGAAACATTTTACCCCCCATGAATAGAAGAGAAAGTATTCTGACTCCTCAAAAACCATGATGAGAGAATCAGTGAGATACACAGACACACTTTGGATACTTCAAGTTCCTGTGCAGACCAACACCACTAGACAGAGAGCTCCTTCAAAACAGAAAATGTTCCTTACTTATCTTTCTAATCACAGTGCCTAGCATGATGCTAACATCTCGTTGGTTATTAGAAGGAGTGAGAGAGAACAAAAATAAAAAGAAAGAAGAAAGAGGAGAGAAGCTGGGAAGAAAGGTAGCCTGGTCAATTAGGTATCATTTTCATTGGAAAACTACCATCTGAAAATTTTAAAAGTAGCAATACTAATTGCTTTCAATTGTTTTGTATGATTATTTGTTTAGCAAACAAATACTAATTTCAGTGTACCTAAATGGTAATGTTTGGAAAAATTAGACTTCATACTTTTCAAAGATACTATTAACTTGAGAAAATTAGTGACAGCAATAACTGAACTAGAAAATAATAATCTTAAAAACTGATCTAGACTTCCTAAATATGTTCCAAAAATACTTATTTGAAATCTCACTTCATTAGGTATTGAACTAGATACCATTTAAAAGAAAAGAAAAAAAAAAAAACACTCATCTCTACCTCTCTAAAAGTTTAAAATCTAAGAGGAATTTTTTTTTTTTGGCTAATATTTTATTTTATTTTATTATTTTTTTTTTCATTTTTCTTTTATTATTCATATGTGCATACAAGGCTTGGTTCATTTCTCCCCCCTGCCCCCACCCCCTCCCTTACCACCCACTCCACCCCCTCCCGCTCCCCCCCCCTCAATACCCAGCAGAAACTATTTTGCCCTTATCTCTAATTTTGTTGTAGAGAGAGTATAAGCAATAATAGGAAGGAACAAGGGGTTTTGCTGGTTGAGATAAGGATAGCTATACAGGGCATTGACTCACATTGATTTCCTGTGCGTGGGTGTTACCTTCTAGGTTAATTCTTTTTGATCTAACCTTTTCTCTAGTTCCTGGTCCCCTTTTCCTATTGGCCTCAGTTGCTTTAAGGCATCTGCTTTAGTTTCTCTGCATTAAGGGCAACAAATGCTAGCTAGTTTTTTAGGTGTCTTACCTATCCTCACTCCTCCCTTGTGTGCTCTCGCTTTTATCATGTGCTCATAGTCCAATCCCCTTGTTGTGTTTGCCCTTGATCTAATGTCCACATATGAGGGAGAACATACGATTTTTGGTTTTTTGAGCCAGGCTAACCTCACTCAGAATGATGTTCTCCAATTCCATCCATTTACCAGCGAATGATAACATTTCGTTCTTCTTCATGGCTGCATAAAATTCCATTGGGTATAGATACCACATTTTCTTAATCCATTCGTCAGTGCTGGGGCATCTTGGCTGTTTCCATAACTTGGCTATTGTGAATAGTGCCGCAATAAACATGGATGTGCAGGTGCCTCTGGAGTAACAGTCTTTTGGGTATATCCCCAAGAGTGGTATTGCTGGATCAAATGGTAGATCGATGTCCAGCTTTTTAAGTAGCCTCCAAATTTTTTTCCAGAGTGGTTGTACTAGTCTACATTCCCACCAACAGTGTAAGAGGGTTCCTTTTTCCCCGCATCCTCGCCAACACCTGTTGTTGGTGGTGTTGCTGATGATGGCTATTCTAACAGGGGTGAGGTGGAATCTTAGCGTGGTTTTAATTTGCATTTCTTTTATTGCTAGAGATGGTGAGCATTTAAGAGGAATTTTTTTTAATCTTTTTTTTTTTTTTTTTGGACAGTACTGGGGCTTGAACTCAGGGCCTCATACTTGTTAGGCAGGCTCTACCACTTGAGTCACTCCACCAGCCCCTAACAGGAATTTTTAAGGTCATTAAAACAATCTATAAAGTTATTTTAATGTTGTACATGTAAACAGACACAAAACAAATAGTTTCTTCTATCATAATTTATATTCTATTATGTCATCTTTGTCTCTCACCCCCAACCCTGAGTGTGGTACTTAGAGAAAGTGATTATTATAACAGATAAATAAAGGGAAGCTCAAAATGGTGGAAAGTTTCTCTACAGTCAGAAAGAGAGATGATAGGCACTGTTGGCTCAAGCCTATAATCCTAGCTACTCAGGAGGCAGAGATGAGGAGGAGTGGGGTTCAAAGCCAGCCTGGGAAATAGTTCACAAGCCCCTATCTCGAAAATACCCATTACAAAAAAGGACTGGTAGAGTGGCTAAAGGTGTAGGCCCTGAGTTCAAGTTCCAGTACCAGAAAGAAAGAAAGAAAGAAAGAGAGAAAGAAAGAAAGAAAAAGAAAGAGAGGGGGAGGGGGAGGGGAGGGGAGGGGAAGGGAGGGGAAGGGAGGGGAGGGAAGGTAGGAAGGAAGGAACAAACGAAGGAAGGAAGGAACGAAGGAAGGAAGGAAGGAAGTAAAGAAGGGAGACAGTGGAAAATCTTGGACTAGAACCTCAACTCCTTACTCTACTGTGTGTGGTCTTTCTATTATATGACACATTATGATAAGTAAAAATTCATCTTCCTCTGCTGGATCATCACAAAAGACTAAGAACTTCTTTTAATTTTATCAGGGAAGAGTTATGTAGAGAAAAAAAGAACACTCTAAGTAATATTTTATCCACTACATTTGTTGTTGAAAATGTGATCAAATGCTTCCAACATCCCTATGTCCTATTGTCACTTGGAAACTTTGTTTTCAAGAACGTTACTTCAGCAATTTCAACAGCAAAGAAAACAAACTACAAAAATCTCTACTACACCTTTTAGCAATTAGTATATAATCACTACGTGCATAGTAACAAAAAAGAATATTGTTATAGTTTGAGTTTTAAATGTCTCTCAAAGGCTACATGTCCACAATGTAGCAGTGTTCAAAGGCTGGGCCTTTGGGAGGTGACTAGATCATAAAGAGTTTTCACCTCAAGAATGAATTAATCCAGATATGGATCTTTATAGGCTAACAGGCTTTAAGAAGGTGGGGCCTAGTTGGAAGAAATAAGTCCCTGGGGACATGAATGGTCCCTAACCTCCAGAACGTCACAATTTATGAAAGGAAATTAAAGCCAAGTACATGAAAGGTTCAGTAAAAACATTCTTCTAAACTATGAGATTATGGAAATAAATCATTAGTTTATGATAAACTATGGTCTCAGAAAGAAATAGGACTAAAAGTACTTTAAATGCTAGATACATAAGATTAAAAGAGGACTGACCTACTGGGGAAAAATATTTGAATTGGAGAATAGGGAAAAATAAAATTATATACGTAGGGTCAGTTTTCACAGGCCTTGAAAGCCAAGAAGAAAAGTCTAAACAATAATCTCCAAAATCTACACAAGTGTTTGTATGAGAAACAACCCAGTTGAAAACAATGGTTAGAAGGTTACTCTTGCAAAGACATGAAGGGTGAAACTGTAATAAGGAAAAACCAAAGGCACGGTGACCATTAAACTTCTTTTTCAACTTTAAACCCCTGTAAAAGTTTAAGATCAGAGAAAGGAACAAAGAAAGATCATGAAATAAAAACATCAATTAAAAATCTTTATTTCTTATATGTAGTAGTATTTAAATTGCCTAGAATCCTACAGACCTATTCCTATCTTGAGATGACAAAAAGAAATATAAATCCACAAACTTTTAAGAACAGCAAGAAACTTTAGAGATCAAGTTCAATAGTTTTGGGTTTTTTTTTTTTCCAGATGAAAAAAACTAAACAGCAGCAAAGTTAAGCAATCTAAGATCATGAAACTGGGTAACATACAAATAAGGGTTTAAATTTATTTAAAAAAAAAACTTAGAAGTAACATGAGCCCAGTGCTTAAAAGGCAATACGACAGTGAATATCTAGACAAGATGGCTAATTTCCTTGATGAGAAAAGTAAGGTTTTCACATGTATTTATTGCTACTCTAGCAGATGATGTCTAAAAAAGTGTGGTTAAATTCATCTTCTGTCAGGACTAAACATACAGGCAAGACAGGGAGCAAGACAAATGGTGTGATGATTCCACAGTGATGACAAGTCTGTATCACTCAACAGGGGACACCCATGGCAGCCATGTCTGTCACACAATTCTTCTCTCTACAGTGCTCTTTTCAGCCAGTATCTGCCGGAGTTAGCACACTACACTGGTAAAAACCTAGTTACTAGTCCTGTTCTGCAGCCGCTAAAAAGAGAGGTGAAGCTTATCTGTTTCTACTTTGAGTTTTGTAGTTGGATGGTTGGTTGGTTGGTCTTGGTCTTCTGCGTTGCTGTAGACTTTTTCGCCCTGCTCCCAGTGGGCACTATCTCTATTCTTCCTATCTGTTAGTTGGTACTTCTCAAACTTTAATGTATATGCACACCACTTGAGGACTTTGCTAAAACAGGAATCCTGACACAGTAGTTCTCAGAGGGGAACCTGGAATTCTGTATGTCCAACAAGCTCCCAGTCGATACTGATGATGTTGGCTCACCAACCCCATTTGGAACAGAGTTAGTAACCTGGGAGAAGACACAGTCACCATACTCAGAAGGAAACAAGTAAGTAATCACAGCAAAAGGAAAGCACTGCAAAAAAAATCAAGAAACTAGGCCAGGGTCAGTGCCTCAAGCCTATAATCCTAGCTACTCAGGTGGCAAAGATCAGAAGGATGGTGATTCAAGGCCAACTTGGGCAAAAAGCTTACAAGACCCCATCTCAACCAATGGCTGGGTACAGTGGTACACACCTATCATCCCAGCTATGTAGAGAAACACAAATAGAAAGATGGCAAACAGGGCAGCCCAAGCATAAAGTGAGACCCTGTCTCAAAACTTACCAACACAAAAAGGACTGGTGGACTGGCTCAAGTGGTAGAGTGCTTATATAACAAGCACGGAGGCCCTGAGTTCAACCCCCAATAGCACCCCCCCAAAAAAAAACTCAAAACTCTGGCTGGGCATAGTGGCCACACCTTTGTAATCTCAGAAGATGGAAGCCTGAGGTAGCAGCATCTTGAGTTCCAAGGCCAGACTGGGCTATGAAATAAGACCCAGTCTCAAAAATAAATAAAAAGCCAAAACTCCTGAACCCTACTCTCCAAATACACCAGAGATCTGAACTTGGCTTCTTCTACAGATTTTCCATTCTACAAAGACTTTCCTGGGCAATGTACCAGCCCTAAAACCCACTCTCCCTCGTCACTTAGATCACATTGCACACGTGACACTTAACTGTAGACCTATTACTGATTTATAAGGCTCACTGCCATCTCTGCTTAACCCATGTCTCACTAAGGACGAAACAACACTCCATCTTAAATATTTCCTAAAGAAAAATAGAGAAATACCAAATAATATCAGCAAGTAAAATGCACATAGAAAAGTACTTTCAATATTATTATAGCATTTGTACTCAAAACCTAGAAAACATTCAGAAAAAGCACATAATCTACATACTAATTTTCATTCACACCTTGTGAATGCATGATAAAAATATATTCACACTTTAAAGTTGTGATCTTTTATGTTCTACATTTAAGTAATTTTATGTTTCTTTTTTAAAATTTTATTGATCTTGAGTTTAAAACTCCTACAACCCAAAATAGCAAGAATGTGATTATAAGTTTTTCCCAAGGAAATTCCATTTCCATATTAATTCTTAAATTATTCAAAGTCACCTACAATTTTTTTAAAAAGAAACCTTCTCCTTTACTTAAGATTCCTCCTTTACTTCAAACAAAGCTCATTTCCTTTTTATCTGAAACCTGCTCCTCAAATTTTCTTGGTGCCTTTTCGTAATGAATACTGAAGAAAAAAGGGAGGGAGGCATGTTTGCTTTTCTGCCCTATTTTTTTAAGACTAGTAACATGAATAATGGGAAAGTTAGAACTTGGACATATACAACAGGCGTCTCTATAGTTCAATGAAACTAAAGTTTAAGCCATTACAGAAAGCTTGGATGAAGGGAGTCATGACTTTACCAAAGGGGGAAATAATCAACAAAAATTTAGAAGGAATAAAGTGGCTGGGGCCACGGCTTGCTCAAGTGGTAGAGCGCCTGCTGGCAAAGTGTGAGGCCCTCAGTTCAAACCCTACTACCAGCTCCAAAATAAAAAGGGGGTGGGAGGGAGGATTCTTTTATTTTCTTACTCATCTAGGCTAGAAAGAAATGTTTGGACACTGCATAGAATTTGAGAGAAGTGGGCTACATCATTTATACCAATCCTCTCATTGTGTTGGCTGTAAATCAAACCCCAAGATGGTTAAAGAAGAGAAATAAATTAACCAAGCTATTCACAAACTTCTGGAAGGCACACAACTTAAATCACAGATAGGAAAATAATCAAGCATGCTCCTGACTAATACGGGCCAGACTTAATAGAACACATACACTGAAAAACAAAGAGCAAATGCTTACCACATATGAAAAATACCATGCCTACTCTCTCCCCCCTAAGCCTCCCTGCCTAAGAACTTAAAAAGAAAAAAAAAAAAACTACGTATCGAGTCAATTGTAGTAGATATTCCCCTTTATCCTTTCATCCTTTTTACCTTTTCTGATAAAATTTCTCACTGCATGGCTCTTACCATTCTCTCTAACTTTGCTTTCCTCGACTACAGAAATATTGGTGTCTTTAATTATGCTATAGATTTGCAAGAACAGGAATAGTGTAATCTTTTGTATAGTTCCAAAGTATACCAAGTTTGGTACTATACCAGTCTTAACAGATGTTTAATGAATTAATATATAACCTAATATAATCAGCTTTCCTGCATTAGATCTCTTTCATTTTATTTTCATTAGAAGTTATGCATAAAAGGAAATTCTGAGTAACATACTTCAGAGTTCTGTTCTCGGCGTATGTCAAAAACAATACAGGAAGTTTTACATATGTGTCTATGAAATTATGACTCCAAAGAAAGGCCCATCAAGCACTGTAAGAGGGATACATAGGTGGGGGAATTAAATGAGTAAGTACAGGTAGAACATTCAAAGTTAATGCTTACATAATTCCTAAGACTTTTAGAATATTTATATACAAAGATGGATTTAGTATAACAAGTTAAGTTCACAGGGACCCATGTTACTTAGTGCTTTTATCAATTCAATCTAAGATAAAGTTAATACATCAGGATTACATACAAGGAGAGAGGCTCATGCTTGTAATCCTAGCTACTTGAGAAACTGAAATAGGGAAGATCAAAGTTGAAGGCCAGCCCAGACAAATACTTTGTGAGACCCATCTCCAAAATAACAAGAGCAAAATGGATTGGAGGTGTGGCTCAAGCAGAAGAGTGCCTGCTTTGCAAGTGCAAAGCCCTGAGTTCAAACTCCAGTCTCACAAAAAAAATTCAACTACAGATAGATATCATAACACTATAAATTTCTGTCAATTTATAGATGAGAAGATTAAGGGTACAGTAAAGGACTGAGAAGGGACAAGAAAAGGAGAGAGCAAGTCAAGTCCCACTTTATTCTATTTTTGGTAGTTTGCTAAAATGCTTTTCTTTCCACCAATAACTTAAGAGAATTATAGGAAAATTATAGAATTCCAGAAACTAAAATTCTCAAATATTCTAAGTAGAAGTAAATCTGAGAGATGAGACAGCAAAAAAAGGAAGGAAACAAAAAAAACAGCTATCTGACATACCTGAGATCCATCATCAAGCTGAGGTTTTCCATAAAGACTGGAGATACTCTCTGCTCGCATGAGATACTCGGCTGTTCTTCTCTTCACAGCTTCTCGTCGGCTAGGGCTTGACTCTCCTAAGAGGAGAAAACAAAAGTATGCCCTTATGAAAAACACACATATTTTTTTTAATCCAATCTGAAAATTAACTTCCTTTCACCCAGTTCACTGCTTGTACACATTTCTAACTGGAAAGAGGGGATATTTGACCTAATTCTGATACTTCTCCTATTTAAAAGTATATTAAGAACTTGGTGGATTTTAGGAGTAGTCAAATATACAAGAAATGTAGTACATAAAGCTCTGAAGACAAAGACTCACACTAGTCCCAACAGTATTAAGCTGGCCAAATCAAAAATAGGACCGGATGTAACGGATGTTTAGTAAGAGCTGGGATGTGAAATCCATACGCTATAGGTTATGCAAAACTGCCAGCAAACTGGAAAATAAACCTAGTTAGGACAATTTTGAATTGTCATCCATCTTACAAATGAAAGCAGGAATGTGACTGAAATTCCTAAAGTATAAAATTATATGTAAGTAAGTCATTTAACCTATTGGTCTTAGTTTCCCTAAGTAAAAGCTATACAAAATAGACTCCAAAGAAATCTCAAAACAGAGATGGTTAAGCCTATACAGTAATGGGTCTCTCCTCACCAGAATGGGATGATTTTTATCCACTTACATGATTGACTAAGAAAGAGCATTTCATTTGAAGAAAGGATTCTGCTATAATCTGAATCTTGAATGTTCCTCTAAAGATTCATCTTTAAAGGCATGGCCCCCAGGTGGCACTACTGGGAGGTTGTAAACCTTTAAGAGGTGAGGCCTAGCAGGAGATCTTTAGATGGTTGGGGATGTGTCTCCCAACAGGGTTTTGGAACCCAGGTCTTCTTTTCCTCCTTCTTCTTTTTTGCTTCCCAGCCATGAGGGGCAATTTTGCATTGCCACCTACTCCCACCATGATCTGCATGATATGCGGCTTCACCACAGGCCCAAACTACAAGACCAATCAATTGTGGACAGAAACCTTCAAAACTGCAAGACAAAATAAATCTTCCCTCTTGGTAAGCTGATTATCTCAGTTTTCTGTTATGTTGATAGCTTACTAACACAGAGTCCATGGCTGAAAGTCAAAGTTTAAAAACCAACAAAGCATATAATCTACAAAGTTCCTTTCATAAATATTGTTCTATAATAATCCATGTGATTCATGACTAATTTTTAAAACACTCAATAGATAGTGCTGTTATAATTCACTTAATGCATCTTCGCAATAAAGTTAACCAAAGAGCAGGTATCAAATAGTGGAAGGTGCCCTAGTAGAAAACCTCTGCTTATTTCAGTCTGGAACAGCATTTCCTGCATCTTCTGGAAAATGCCCATTCCCCTCTCCTTCAGATTCTCCTCCCAATCACTCACACTATTTCAGCTCTGAGCCCCTCTAGTCACTGACTAGTTAGTCAATGGCGGGATTCCCTCTCCTAAGCAGAGTCAATCATAGAACGCTCCTCTTCTGGTCACAGTTGGAGAAGGGAGGAATTGCCACAACACAAACTAGACCTCTTCTGTTACTGAAGCTGTAAATAAGAGGGGGACTCCCAGCAACTACAGGTTCTGCCAAAGCAAAAGAAGCCAAGCTGAAAGAAAAGACTTGATAAGGAAAGAAAGAAGTATGAGAAAACAAAAACAAAAACAAATAAGCACAAAAAAAAAACCCACAAGAAACCCTAGTTTTCCTGGGGGTCCCTGGTCTCAGGTCAATCTACATCCTACCTTCTCCACCTAAAGTAGTTTAACTGTGGATTTTGGTGCACGCAAGCCAATGAATCCTGACTGAGAACAGTCTTCAGAGAAAAACTACAGTGAAGATAAGATGGCAATTTTGCTAAATAACTTTCTGTTCACCCTTTTACATTATTATCGCATCTCTTCTCTCCTTCCCGAGTATAACTACTCAGGAGGGAGGAGCTACTGCTTTTTAATTGGGGAATAATCAATAGTTAGTAACTCTCCTACTCCTCAAACCACAATTAAAATGTTAGTACGCTTCTGACTCTGTGCTTAAATTTTACCTACTTTCTGAAACCAGGTTTTAGGGGACTTCTCTACACAGTTGAAAAGTGGGTATAAACTATCTATGAAAATCATCTGAAAAACTACAACATACCTTGAACATAAAGTGTGCCACATAAATAACTGCTATCAACTATGTCTACACACTATTAGGCCTTTGCTTTAGGGATACTGCTTTGGGCTATTATTCCCATTATCATTAGCTCTTCACATTTCAGGTTTTGCCCTTCAGGCCCTAACTTTAACAATTAAACAAAAATTTCTAGATCACCTTAGGTTCAACTCCAATAGAAACTATGGCACTTTTATTTTTTTGTTTTGTTTTGTTTTGTTTTGAATTCAGTGTGGTTTAGCTTTAATAAATCTTAAAATTTTGCTCTATTCATGACTGTACACAGTGGTTCATACATATAATCCCAGCTACCGGGAGGCAAAGATTGGGAGAACTGGAAGTTTGAAGCCAACCTGGGTAAAAGGTACCTAGACACAATCTCAACCAATTAATTCAGGCATGGTGGTGCACATCTGTAATCCCAGCTGTGGCCATAGACAGGAGGGTCACAGTGCAAAGCTAACCCCAAGCAAAAACACATGATCCTACCTGAAAAATAAGCCATAAAAGGACTAGGGGCATAGGGGTCAAGGGAGGAAAGGAGGGAGGAATTTTTGCTCTATTCAAAAAAATTAATTTCTCTTACAAATTAACATGTAATTCAAAAATGCCAAATTATAGAATACCTAGCTATGATTAAAGATGATTTTAACTATATTTTGTAATCAGATCACTGCTTTTTAAACTTTTGGCTTTTTTGCCACTTTCTAGACAGTCTCCATAGTAACAGAGAAACAAGAACCGGAAGCCAACAGCTGAAATGGTGGGTCTACTTCCATGGAAACTACAACCAAGGAAATTCTGAGAGCATCCTTATATAGAAATGCTATGATTCCTTCCCTATCAGCCCCTTGAAAGGAGGTCACAGCTACTGCTAACAAACAGCATCCACCAAAGATGAAAGCTAACTCTTGCAGATACCTGTCACTACCTGCTTACTGGAGTTTGGGAGTACCATACAGAAGGAGCCTGGGTCTCACAATCCCCTTTACAGGCATACCCTCAATGACAGGGGCTGAGGCAGGAAGATAAGAATTTGAACTTAGCCTGGGCTAAGTAGTGAAACTCTGTCTTGAAAATCACAAAAAATAAAAAGTGTAATTCATTCTAATTTCCATGGTTTCTTATAGCTGTTCTTCCTTTTAAAACACACATGCCCAAAGCAATGGATCCAGCCAACCTAGGGCTGAAACCTCTGCAAGCATGAGCCAAAAAATGAATCATTCCTCCTTTTAAATGGTTTCTCTCACAAAAAAACTGACTAACACAAGTGGTTGTTTTGTTTTGTCTTATCATACATCAGGGTACCTGTCATCATACTAAGCTATCTTTAAATATAAGTAGAAGAAATTGAATTTGACAGGCGTGGTGGTACATGTCTAGAATCATAGCGCTCGAAAGGCTGAGGTAGGAAGATTACGAGTTCAAGGCCAGCATGGCCTACACAGTGAGTTCAGACCAACCTGGGCTCACTCCTATAATACTAGCTACTTGGGTGATCAGGAGGATCACAGGTCAAAGCCAGCCTAGGCAAACAGATCTCAGAGATCCTAACTCGAAAATACCCAATACAAAAAAGGGCTGGCAGAATAGCTCCAGTGGTAGAGTGCCTGCCTAGCAAGTCAGAGGCCCTGAGTTCAAACCCCAGTACCACCACCAAAAAGAAAAAAAAAAAAAAGAATTTGAATTTGATAATTGCACATAGGGCAAGTGTAGGTGAATATGGCAACAAAGGTGAAGAGAAAATAAACTATTACCTATCAGACAACATAGCAGAATAGAATCAGAATGGAGAAAGACCCAAGACGACAGAAAAACATAAAGAAAAATAAAAGCTACTAAGAGGTATACTTCCCACTACACAGAGGGTATACAAAAGGAACATAAAGGAACACAGGCCAGAAATGGCAGGACAGTACTAAGAACTTCCAATTCTGCTCTTCCACTCTTAGGTCACTAAGGAGAAAATAGCAAATACCCTCATAATTTGTTCAACAAAGCAAAAGCAATGTCAGATAAAGAACTAGCCAACTTAGATTTCTTGAAAGACATTATGTTAATATGTACATTTCATGGGAAATTTTAAGAATACTTTGACTAAATTTTCACCACATACACAGAGCGTAACTCCCACATAAGACTCTGCTAGTCACATCTTGTATTCTTCTCTCTATTCCTCTGCTCCTCAACTACTTTCCGACATGCTTAGTTCAAGCATGCTTGGTTTCATTCAGATTTACATTAGAAAGAACATCTAAACCAATCTGGAGGTGCTGCAATGAGTTTTTGTTTCTTATTGCTTTTCCTTTTCTTTTCTTTTCTTTACAATTTTAGTCACATAAAAGAATTCTTCTCTTTGAGATGGCCTTGGTAGTTGTAGTTTTTGTAAGTGCTGATTTATTATATTTAACATGTTTTTGTTCTTTTCAGGTATAGCCTGCCATTTCTGCCTTATGCTAAGTGTTCTGACAACAAAAGGCAACCTTGAGGAGAGTAATAATTTATGGTTCTACATGTCTACCACAATGCTGAAGCCATTGGCTTTTCTGCGCTCAATGTGAACCGGTCAGTTAGGGAATTTCCTTTCTTTTTGCAGTTAAGTCAACCCCCTATTAATGCTTGTTCAAAACCAATCATTACATGGCTGCTATAAGTTCAGAAAGTCACCAAAGGATGGTAAAAGCAAAAGCCATAATAATATTCATGCTGAGGCATTGCCTCAATTGAATGCATCCAATGTTATGCAGCAGTTTTTATACTATCAGTAATACTGAATGAAAACTAGCACCATTAGATCACACAGGGTCAAATGCCTATCAGTTCAACAATTTCTTCTGCTCAGTAACTAACTTTTCTTTGTTTTGCAATTTTAAAAGACAGTATGCAGAA